CCGTGCTCCTCCGTGGCTGGAGGAACAGAAGGCTGTTCCGAGACGGAAAATCATCGCCTTCAAAACGCCGGCCATATTTGGCCGCTAGTCACTTGACGCATCTTCCTAGTACATCGCTACACCGACTCGGGCAGCTTCCAAGACTTGAACATCTGTTCTGTCCTGGGACATGTATATGTTGATGGTTTCTTGTCTGTCCCGAAACTTTGAGGAATGTGGACTGGCTTACGTGGAGCTCGATATGGTAAAAAAGTTACTTGGATTAGTCACACTGAAAAGTACAGGAGTTGCACAGTGGAGAAATATTGCAGAGGAGTTACATTATAGCAACATACAACCAAAGATCCATTCGGGGCCCATCCTTGCGCGACAACACAGTCGACCGCGGGGCGACGACATTATGGGGGACACGGAAGAAATATCCCGGCTTTCATTCCGCCTGGTGAGTACCCAAGACGTAGTAGAGGAATGATCGACCAGGACGCGTTGTTGACAAAGAAACGAGTTCCGCAGGAATATTCTCCCAATTTGGCGAAGAAAAAGGCGACTGAAGTATGTTTCGAGGAGAGGGCGCGGCTAACTGAAGGCTGGTCCATGACGACGATGCTAGGCTGGCTTGAAGGATGATGATGGCGAGAGAACTGAAGATTGAAGGCGAGTGGAGTTGAACCCCTAAAAGCAAAGATAAAAACTTATTTTGCGTTGTCTTTGCTACGTGGCCGTTGTGTCGGACGGGGGAGGCTTTGTTCTGTCGTCAGCAGAACCGCCCAGGTCCTCCTGGACTGAACTCAGGCCACCGTCGTGCTCGTGGGTAGTAGACTCGACCATGGTTTAATGTTGTTTTGCGTCCCCCCTTTACCCTAAAAATTTACGGCCCGTAGACACAACGTGCAAATGACGATACACGGCTACGACAGACCACAGCCTTGCTCGACTGAGAACATGACGAGTTCCTCAGGCGCCTTGACCAGGTCGTCGTTATCTCGCTCGTTGTCAGTGCGCTTTCGTTTCCAGGGGATCCCGCCACACCCCACTACTTCCTCCGCGGCTTTCAACAACTCCGGGATCCTTTGAGGCTGCGGCACTCCGTCAATCCAATGCCTTGCCTCCGCGGCAGACACCCTGACTACACTCACTCCGCCCTGGAACCCAACAGGTTGCACATGTAGCGTGTTGTGTTCTTTCGCAACCACCTGGCACGGCACTGACCACTTGTGGGCCTTCACGAAAACCGACGGCGACCCTCTATGAGTCTCCGGCGACCGCCCATGTAGCCTGTACAGCACCACGTCACCAACCGCGTTTCCACCATGTCACCCTCAGTACCAAGCTCCTCTTCAGTCATCATACCCGTCGACACATATTTCAACATCGTCGGGAAACGCAACTCCAGAAGTGCGTCCACTCTCACAGCCTCCGGCCGCATCAAAGGCAACTCATTTGAGTACCTTGCGTCAGTTCCTATCAACGGTGCTAGCCCTGTCGCTGGGTGTGGGATGTTGTTGTGCGCAAGCACAGCAGAACTCACAGCCTCGCGCAACTCCGAACCACTCCGAACATCCGCTCCATGCAAAGCCTTCGATATTCCACGGTGACTCGACTCGTTAACACCGTTCCCTTGTGGTCGGTATGGCGCAGTTACATACAACCTGCACTTCCAGCACTTCTGAACCAGGTCAAAGAACTCTCCTTTGAATTCCTTCCCCGTCAACCAACACAGCTAGCGGTGCTCCG